TGCACTCACGCTTGCAGGATGGTGGGCTGGCCTTTGTGGCGGGCGTTACTTTACTCTCTGATTTTGCGGTAGACTCTAAGGATTCTGCCCGAGCTATCTGTGTACTACTTGTTAGCGTCTCATGCTCTTTAGCCTTTTCTTGCGCAGCGGAAGTTGTTGTTGAGTTTTCAGAGCTTGTTGTCTTTGTGTCGGCGGAAGTGCTATGCTCCTTTTTGTCTTGATTCTCGGTGTTGTTGCTGCTTTCTGACGTTGTTTTATCCTTCTTTCTGAAGCGTTTTCGTCTTCGCAGGTAGCTTCCATTCTCGAACATGTTCAAACTCTCGGGATCCAAACTCCAGAAACTTCCTTTGCCCGGTTTCTTATCATCCCTTGGCACTTTGACGAAGCACTCGTTTAAAGAAAGATTGTGTCGGATTGAGTTTTGCCAGCCTTGTTTATTCTCTCTATAATACGGAAATCTGTCCATGATAAATTGATATATTCCACTAAGTGTTATTTTCTTCTCTGGTGCACTCTGAATTGCCATAGCAATAAGCGCGATGTAAGAGTATGGCGGCTTTACCATCTCGTGTCTTTGATGCGGCACATGTTGAGTGCGTGGAATAGGAGGATAGAGGCGATCTTGCCTCGCTTGATATTGTCCGTGTGCGGGATAAACAGGGAAATGAACGGACGAGTAATGAGACGCGGTGGGCCGATAAAATTCGTAGCCTTGATTTCCGTACATCGGCGTGATCATGTTGTTGTTTGTGGCAGGCGAGTTGGCTGGATATGGATACATGGACATCACGGCTCAAAAACTATGCCCGCTTTGAACTTGGTCGTAAATGATTTGATAAAAGCGTCCTTGCATGCACTTTGATTGATATCTGCTCTTTGCACGAGTCACGCGCACAAAATAGACACACTGTAATAAGATGTAAATTCGTTTGTCACCTCTTGATCGAATTACACCCAGTTATGTAGCAGGCCGGTTATGCAATTTTAAGCGCGCCAGCCAATCGCAGTGAGTGCTGCTATCTCGGGCCACACACACAGCTTAGCACTCCATTAGCTGAGCAGAGCTACCGTTTCATTGCCCTTTTACTTTTCCACCCAATTGCATTATTTCTGCTGTCAACACCATATCAACAAGTAGCAATTGTTCAGCTTATGATACGCGTAGCCAGAAATCATTGGCGCAAGAGCGACACGCCACAAGGGAAGTGTACTAATTGCTTGTAACGGGGCACTTCACAAAGCGTAAAACCATGCGTGTTATTTCGAACTAAGCGCAATCATTCCAGACTAGAATTTGCGAGAGTAGTTACCGCAAATTGGGTTAAGTGTGCGCTGGTGTTTTTTGTTTGGTTAGGTTTGTCCCGAAATGGGACAATAGGGAGCCATCTGGAAATACTGCATTGGACAGAAGTGAATACCCGTAACATGTGGGGTACATCGGTCTTTAATGTCATAGCCGATTCTTTTAGCGACTGTGTGATGAATTTATTGGAAATATGATTTGG